CGCCTCACATAGAAATTGAAAAGTGATGCTTTGATTTTAATATCACACACACGCAGCGCATATACTAATGCATATGCACAATATTAGCTTTTTTACTGCATTTTTTTGTACTGCTCGTAAAGTAAGTAAAAATAACGTACACAGCCCTTCTGCAGCAGAAGAAAATAATAAATATGCATACAGTTGAGCATATGTGTGCAATGAATGGAGAAAAACGCACGATCTCTCGCCCAACCGCTCCATCAACCAACTCTACAAACAGCCTTTGTTACGCAAATTTGAAACTTGAAAGGAATGAGTATTCAGACAAGCTGCGATCTAAGTAGAAATTTTATTCCTTACCAGGTTCAAAAAGTTATTGAATTTGTTTTGGAATTTCTGCTTGAGAAATAAAACGGCTGTCAGGATCGCTGGCAAGCTGACTAATAGGCGACGTAGCATTGGTCAAAGCAGCTTGAAGTACACCAGCGCCATAACTTTGGACCACCCCATAATCAGTTTAATTAGTTGGTCAGCGTATCAGAGTAGCTGGATATACTAGTAGTAGAATTGCCGGAAAGTTTGGTGTAACGAAAGAACTACGACATAAGCGCGAAAATAACAAGTTTTTAAAAGACTAGTAAGGGTGGATAAAAAATCACTTTAATAAAAATAAAAAATCATTCAAAATCACTTTGCTTTTGGGGGAAGGTTCATAGTTTTTCAATAAAACTGAAATTTTTCAAGCTCACGAAGCAGGCACTGCTCTGTTACATGATTAGTTTTCCTTACACTCTGATCCCAGTGCATTTGGGGCATTAACATTACTTATCACTGCGCCGTGCTTGCAAACTTGCAAAGTTAGGTATTGCAAAGAGAGACAGATGCATCGATCAGTGGCGGAAAAGGTATGCTTGCAATCAGATATTCCTCATGTGCACAGTTCAGTTGGCACCAAGAATACAAAGATCGCCCGTCAATTACTGTAGTGATGGTACTAGTTTTTCCCGCTCGCCCGGCAGAGCTAATTAAATAAAATATTTGAAATGAACCAGTGCAATATTCTCCGGTGTACTGCAGTACGCAATTGCATTTCAAGTACTTTAGAAGAGGCGCTGTTGGAAACGTTTCAATGGCGCAGCCACCGTAGCGACACGGATTCATTGGATTTAGGTAGGCGCTTAGCTCATGCTCATTGTCACAGTCTTGCACATCTGAAAAAAGAAACGCAGTTAATCGACGAAATCAACCGGAAATTAGCAACGGTTGCTGAGAAAGCGAGGTCGAATCCGAACAGAAACGGCCCGAAACAATTTAGGAAGAACAGTTTGAATCCTGCCAACCACACAGCTTTTTTTGTCGAAGAACTTCCTGCACTGAATTAAGCTTTAAAAAAAGGCGTTCCTCATAATTAATTTGATGGCAAAAGCAGAAAGAGGGAACCATCGACAGCCTCATCAGCAGCCACATGTGCAGAGGTTAGCAAGCACTTGTGGGCTAGTCAAACGTCTACGGAATTGGCTATCTGTTCATCCTCCCCATTCAGCTTTCTTATTCAATGCTCAAAATTCCTTCTTATTTCGTAAGCTGAGTTCCTGCAGCGTTTTGTTCATTTCACAAACACTGCTGTCATCCGCCAAGCACTAGTGGCGCAACTTTTTTCAGTAATACCCTAAGCGACTTCCCAGCCTAGTTTTTGAGTGAATATCTCAAAGTATGCCCTGAAATTCTAAATGACTGTCCTCCTTTACTTTCATCCCAATAAGTACAGAAAATGCTTCGGCCTTAGAACAGTCCACTCTTTGAAGAGGTAAAAATATAATTCGTTGTG